CCTTGATTGGCCCCTTTCTGTTCAACACACGTGATTCCTTTCTAACTGTGAGCCTGGGATGCACATTATGGTACGATCCGTTTTAAAAACGAAAACAATCAATTTCGACACCATGATGAAGTCCCATTTTACAAACATTTTTTTAGTGTTGGTTATCAAATGAAAGTAAAAGTAAAATTTGTTTGGAAATGCGGTATGAAATAATCAAAAAACTTAAGTTCAAAGCTCAAATGAGCCTCAAAGCGTCATCGTAAACGGACTAGAATTAAAACACACAAAATGGGCAGTCTTTCATATATCGGACAGTGAGAAGATCGCATGCAAGTGCTATACGCATTTTATCAGTTCATCTCATATATGCTATCGTTGGAGGTTATCATTATTATTGAAGTCAACACTTTTAAGATTACGTAATAAATCGTATCGTTTTACCTACGAAAAACGAGCGTTTTATGTTTGTAGTAAGCGAATCCATAATTATCTCTATATATTGTCAGCGTATGTTAAAACTTCAAATTGTTAAAGTGGGCCTTAAACTCTTTGTGTTTGGCAGACATCTTACCAATGCTGCTGAATCGGTACAATTTTTTTTGATTGGGAGAAATTTGGGGAAATTGAAAGTTGAAAAGATTATATATTCCGAAGAACTTGGGATAGACCCACTTTATAGAGTGTCAATCGATTCAGAAAACGATTCTGAATCTGAACCTCTTCAGCTTATCCATACGTCTGATGGTTGTCCATCTTTATTCGTGTTCAACCTATAGGTCGCAATTTTTAAAATAAATTTTAATGAAGCTTGGGGCACTGACGTGTTTTGGCCCAAGAGCGAATGCTATTGACAATGGTTCGGCCCGTATCACTTTTTTGACCACTTCCGTCTTAGCGCCTTATTTCCTCCTATGGACAACTGTTTTAGGCCAACTGGTTTAGAGTATTTGAAGATCGGCCATGGCCCACTTTAATGTTTTTACTTGTTGTAAGCGAGTTTTTTATCTTCCATTTAATGCTAAGATTGTTCACGAAAAAAGTGAATACAAACCGCTCAGAAATAACTTTTTTAAATTAATATCATACCGAAATCTGAAATGAATTCGGGCAAGTTTTAGTGCAAAAGAGAAATCATTTATAAAAATACGAAGAACTGAGAATTTTTGACAATCGCAAAAAACAGATAGTAGATCAGCACTATTTAGTAGGAGTAAAACTAAATAAGAAAATTGTGGAAACCTTAGGAAGATGCGCCACTGTGCTATCAGAAGAGTTTCTCTGAATTAAAGTTTTGTCAGGACAATAAATATAGAGCAAGGTGTGCTAGAGGCTGTAAGTTGACTGCATAAACTTTTAGGGTCCGTTATTTATCTAAAATTTATCCTTTGAGGGGGAAATCCAGATCGACTTTAAGCTTAAGTCAAAAGCAATTGAGTCAAATTTCAACTATGCATGTAAAAGTCTGCGCCTTTTTAATCCTCTACTATAACAAGGGATTTTTAAGTATCTCGCAGTTAATAATTTTTGGATATCTTTTGTGTTACTAACGAAATAAAAAAGTAATAATATCAAAATGAACAAAAGAAAAAAATCGTGAGTTTTTCTTGTTGAAAATAGAAAAGGTATAAAATCTAAAAAAAGAAATTCTAAGACTCGATGGCAACTTTTATTATTTTTTCGGGAACATCCCACCACGCGAACTCAAGGCTTATTTCCCGATGTGTTTGCTACGTAATAAACCAAAAGAAACACAACAACAACAAAATACACTATAATGGGCTATTAAATACACTACATCACCCTACAGGCATTCATATAACGACATTTTCAACGACCCTTCACGTCGCGCAAAACACGTCAAGGTAACAAATCTCGTTAAAATATCTCAAAATTTGCAGCTTGCCGATTGAACCGAATAAAACAAGACGGATATATGGACAGACGGGTAGACACGCAAAAACCGGAATAATAAACGAATCTATCTCAAGTCCTTCTTGATATACCTTTGTACCACAAGTGATGTACAGTATAAAAATAAGACAACTATAAGTATGAATACATCAAGAATTGAATGTAAATAAATAAATAAATAATGTAAGTCAAAATAGATGAATAAATAAGTGAATAAATAAAACACTGAAAAAAAAGAAAATAAATGCAAAGAACAAAAAAAACTTAAATAATTAATAAAAGGTAACAAGCTCATAAAAAATCAAATAAATAAACAATTAAATAAAGTAATGAATATATGAACGAATATACAAAAAATAAATAAATATAATAAATAAGGTAGTGACTGAAGCGGGAATAGAGAAGTTTACCATACTCATTAAGAAAAAAAAGATGTCACAATTTCTCTTTTGAAACGTGGCGGCCATTGGATAACTTGTAAGTCGCGAGGGATGGATCTCCAAAGGAGAAGAGAGGGATGAATGAAAAGCTGACATTCATACGTCAATGAAGAATTCACTATTGGTCTAACACGCTCGTTTCTCACGACTAGGGTAAAACTAGTGGAAAGGACGCTTGCGACGATTTCGTACAGTAAGCGTAGTGCCCTATATTTGAGTAAGTCGTCTAAGGAAACATAAGCACACACATCATTTCTCTTTCTCTCGTACGTATATCTGGGCCATTAAATACTCTACACCAGCATCTACAGTTATCCATACATCGACTTTTCAAACTAAGGCGTTATGTGGTAAGTCGTCGAAAAAGTAGTCAGATCCAAATCGTTGTCAATGGCGTTCGTTTGAAAAATTTGCGACTTGTGTGTTGAATACAAGGCGGACAGACGGACAGACCAGCTTAGGTTGATCGAGAAAGTGACTCTGAATCTACAGGTACAATAAAAGGAAGGTCTACCTCAAGTCCTTCTCGATGTTGCTTACATTCGCACAAACTGAATATACCCTTATACTACTGCACTTGTTGAAGTCGCTGATGTTACGAGGAAAACGTGAATGTTTCAACATTGCTTTTAACTTGTATTTGGTCACACATTATGATGCATTGGGTTCGCAAGAATGAAATTTGGTGTTCAGCTTAATTTGTTAATTTATATATATATTTGCATTATTTTCTTAAGATCCTTCATAAGGTAAATGGGCAGCTTTTATAAGGCGAATGCACCTGTTTGCATGTGTGACAATAGCTTCTTTCAATGCTGGCCGTTCTTATTATTATCTATTGCGTACTACTCGCTCTATATCTCTTAGCTAACATTTCATTACCAATAATACAGCAAAAGAGACGTAAAAAGCAAGAAATGAAGAAAAAAATCACGTTTCATCATGTATTATGCCGGTTAGCGGTAATATTGTACATATGGCCGGAATACATCCCGTCAACCCTCTTCTTCACTAGCCAGCTCGATAATGTAAAGGTTGCATATTAATTACATACAAAAACGTTGCTCACATTAACATTGCACGGGAGTACAATATGTATGTATGTCTTTTAGTTTTTTTTTCCTCGTTTATGCGTTGCAAAACTAAACCTAATCCAACTAACTAACCAAGCAGGCAACTGAATAACTTCAATCAAGAGCGTCAACAACAAGTTGTTGTTATTATTGTTATTTTCGTTGCTATTATTGCAAATGATTACTCAACAGATGTTTTGTATATACAATCGATCTGTTGCTCTAATGTTCTATATCGTATATACGTATATATTAGCGTTAGTGTAAGTAAAAAGAATTGGAAGCACGCAACTCAGACCTAAACATAAAACGGTTCGTAGAAATTTCTAAAGTAAAGCGTAGAAGAGTTAAAAGAATTATAAAATATGTGTGAAAACAAACTGTAAACTGTTACAAGTAAAAATTTCACTTTTACCAAAAAATATAGGTTGCAACATGTTGCAATCTAACCATATGCATCATTTCTAGAAATAACGGTGCTTATGCGGCTTGATTTTGTAAGTGCAGAAAGAAATTATAAAACACAAACAAAAGAAGAAATTCTACTAGTAAACTGATTTATAACATATTTACACACATACACACACATACACACACACTTACGGATATTGAGAGAGAGAGAGAGAGAGAGAGAGAGAGAGAGAAAGAGAAATACACACACGTGCATATGCAGCAACCGCTTAGAAGAATGGAACAAGAGACGGCGCGAATGATGAAATAACATTTCATCGATCAGTCTCATACAGCGAACTTGTTGTACGACTTTCACGAAGCTTGCTGCTTGTTTTAGACATTAACGTCACAGGCAGGCCGTACGTGTTGCTGCAACGTGACCACTAGTTACGGCAAGAACGCCAATAATTGTGGCCAAAGTGAAAGAGGTTGTGCTGTGAAAGCTTTTCTATTCAATTGCGTTTTGACTGTCGTAGCTAACGGTTGTGCTAAACAGCCTGCAACGGGTACACTTTCGTAAAATAATTTTGCTCTAGAACTCAATAAATTATACTCTGGCTCCTCTCAACCAATCATTCGTCTCTTGGAAAACGACAAACACCAATCGTTTATATGCAGAAATATATTATTAATCGAATTCAATTATTCACTCGTTTTAATTTACTAACGGTGAACGAAAATTTTAAATTGAAAAATTGTACTACGGCATCAGAATATTTGGTTTTTATTTTTTCAATGGCAATGAATCAACCAATGCACGCTTTTAAATAATAACGCAAAACACTTATGCGGTAAAATAACATTTCCGTCATTCAATTCATATATGAAACTTTTTTCGGAGCCGTAAACAACTTAAAAAGCAAGAAAAAATAAAAAAAAAAAAAAAATACGAGAAATTTATTAACTCTTCTTCTTGCATTATGATTAATACCTAGAAAGTGCAAAGAACTTTAGAAAATGTGAAAAATAAAAAAACAACAACAACAATAATTAATTTATTAAAAATTCATTGAAACAGATAAGCGCGAACCCCACACACACAATACCATAACAAGTAAAAACAATGCGCAATTAAAATAAATATTTCAGAAATAAAACAAACAATAAAAAAAATAAATAAAATAAAATAAAGCAAAGAAAAAATTGTTTATTTATTTTTTTTCAAATGTATTAAAACAAAAAGAACACAACAATCATATTTCATAATAAACGTAAAATCGTTTTGGAGTTATCTATCTAACTATACGTGCACACATACGCACATATGGCTATACGTGAACGTAGGTGAATGATATCTTGAAAGAAAAATAAGGCAAAAACTCTTCGCAAACGCTTACGTTTACGTGCAAACATCACAAAAAAATGTCGATTGTCTGCACTTTAGAGCCGAAAGTGAACTTATTTAAAGGTCCTGTCGCCGCGAAAAATTTGTTAATATTGAAAAACAATACATTGACATCGCCACTAGAATCATTGGTAGCGACAACAGCAACACACATTGTAAATTCCGCAACAATATCAACAACCGGAACACCTGTTATTAAAATTAACGGTGAATCTATAAAAAATTCCCACAACGAGTTGGCGGATAAATGTAAGTGTGAATTTTCAGACAAGTTGCGAAATAAGAATTTATTCCGAAACCACCTTCCACGACAGCACTAAAAGTATTCTAGTTTTGTTGTTCCGTTTATCAAACTTTTCAAAGAATTCGTTTACTCGTAAACAGTTTATAGTTTAAAAGTTCATTTATTTATGTCCGTCTACAGATCCATTAGTCTTTCACATCTGTCATTTTTAATCGCTAATAATAATCTAAAGCTTACTACTCTGACGTTAGAAATGGAGAATATCTTAAAACTTGCGAGCTGTTTGATGGACGTAAGAAAACAAGACGGACGGACAGACAAGCTTAGATCGATTCAGAAAGTGATTCTAAATCCATTGATATAATAAAAGTTGAGTTCATCTCAAATCTTTCTAGGCAAGACGTACGTCCTACTCTTGTACCGCAAGTGGTTTAGCGCATAATCAGCTTTCAAGAGCTTGAAAAATTGTATGTTGTTATGTCGCTCCTTATATACTCGCACTTGGTTATTAATTAATGCTACCTCTGTGTCTCTAGGCTCAATACTTTTTAGAGCGAAGCAATAGTATATATTACTTTCAAGCGGCTGATATTCAAAATACACCGCAATATGATATTAGTCGTGAGCTACGAGAAAAAATTTAAATGAATTGCACAACCTCTGCGAACATCTTGATTAATAGCATGTGACAGACAGACTTTTATCGTTTTCTAAGGTATTCGCTTTGGACTCTTCAGATTTTCAGTCACGCGAATTACGAAAAAGAAGACATGAAAAAAAGTGCAGATTCCTTATACAAAGCATGGCATGATTACACATAGTACACTGGTTGCTTTCTCTGCCAGTGTCTTAACAGACTGGAGATTTTAGTATAAAAATTGAATGATTAGAGAAAAACAACAAGACTGAAAAGTTGTGAGATTTAGTTTTTGAGCAATTAAGATCAGATAAGCGATATTATTAGGTAAGTAAGAAGAAAACTTTCATGTTTGATATAAAAACAAAAAGAAAAAAAATTGTTGTTAGCTTACTGTCAGTGCGAATTGTTTATACATATCAAAGGCAAATCTTCTACAATTGGCCTTCATTTGTCAAGTGCTCCGTCTTATTATTGTAAACTTCTTATTAATTCTTGATATCATCAATAACATAAGTGTTCCAAGATGTTTTTTTTTCCCTTTTTTGTTTTCTTTTACACAGGCAAACAATGATATATGATATGAAATTTCTGATAAGAGTCTTAACACGAAATCCTTCAATTAATCTGGTAATCTTAGATAAATAATGCATTTTTATTCAACGTAAAGCAAAAATAATTTAGATTTACATTAACGATCAATTCCCGCTTCTCTCCGCCACTTCTCGTCTTTTTCCAAGATGTAAGTGGTGTAAGCAGCTAAGCAGGATTTTCCTTAGTCTCAGTCAAGCTAAATGGAGATTGTCTGCACGCCTTCAACATGTCTCAAAAAGCAAGCTACTGCTGGTCGCCAATAAATGTCCCAGATCAATAAGCGTTTTCGATAAGCGTAAATGGGAAGGAATATCGGAAAATTTCGTTAAGGATTTTAGAGTCTGATCAATCATTGCTTCATAATATTCGAAACGTGTATTAGTTTGTTAGACGCAGACATATGATGAATTTTATTTGTCTCGACTATAAGTATTTAAGATCGTCAAGAGCGCCTTTTTCTTAACACTGTAAAGTTACCGAGTTCACTACCTCGCAGTATCAAAACTATTTTTAATATGAACAGGTTCAGAAGTGCAATCAGAGATTTCTATAGTTCTTATTATGTATAGTTATTATGTACTTTTCGTTTCATTGTACAATTCACCAGAGTTACTCTAATTTTACTTTTGCTGTGTTATTTCTACCGAAAGAGACTTCAAACTGAGACAAAACTGCCCCTTAATCTTCATTAATAACCTCTCTTCATGCTAATGAAAGCTGAAGTAAGTGTCTATAAGATTTACTCTTATTATGAACTTAAGTTTGAGAGAAATAAATTGTAAGACTTAAGTCTTAAAACATTATCATCTAAGCCTATCGCTTTTATTGAAAAGTCTACCAAAAAGTCCTTTAAAATTTGACCCCACGACCATTAAGTTATTAGTCACAATCGTTTGCCACACAGGCAGATATAAAGATTTAAAATTATCATAATAAGAGAGAAATTTAATATTCCGGGCCGGGGGGGTGAGGGGGGGGGGGGG